TCCCAGGCAATTACCCTTTATTTTACACCAGGCTGTCACGAGCCCACCTAAAGACTTCATGTATTTCAACACAAAGCAGCCACTAAGTGAAGCAATGTAATTTATTTGACATTATACCAGACACGGGTGCTCCAGATCCAGACTTGACCTTAAAACAATTTAAAATCCTGGATATGCGGCATTGGCAGTGTCAGAGTTACCTGCCCGAGAGCGAAACGTGTCCATGCCAGCTACTGAGACAGAGAATTAAGTACAGGAGAAGTTGAGTAGTAAAGCACTGTCAGTCCATGGCAACTGTGAACTCGCTTCCAGTGCTGGAAGAGATGGCGAGGCTGTTGGATGACGGCGCCAATGTTTCAGTATAAAGCAGCTCTCAGTTACTCATGTCACAGCAGCGTCCAATTACAACAACAAGGGATATGGATTTAAGCAATGTTTTGCTCAATTAATGGGCAGCCCCAGCCGAGGGGCTGGGGAGTGCTCCCCCTCCCTCTATAATGAACAAGGCACCACAATACAACATAGCTCCTGATGGCAGCAAGTGTAAAGAAACAACCAACAACCACCCCACACCACTGTCTGAACACCATAAACTGGGCAGCACTGTCCCAACTGGCAGAACCACCCCAGAGCCACACACACCTGAAGATGGGACACAGCCCTGTAACAACGCACTACAGCCGGTGTTACTCCCAGCTCATGGCTTCAGCTGCGCAGACTCCTTCTTTGAAACCACTTTACTCCATTTAACAAATGTTGGCAAATGCCAGAAGCAGTGGGTAGTATGTACTGGTGGCAAATACATCTATAGTCATCATCTCTACCAGGTTCTACTAGAGCTGGGAGACAGTGCTGTCCCCCCCGCATGCAAGCGCTGTGGGTTAGATGCAGTCCATAGTTTAAAACACACAAAGATGAGATGAACATGAGCAGTGCTGGAAAATCCAAAGAAAACTTTCTCCTCTGAGCTGTCTCCCCAGAAACAGCTTTTGAAAGGAGACATCTGTGCATGTAGTTCTCAGCCTATCACGAGGCAGTCAAGTTGACGTAACACACATCATTACACACCTTGTATTTACATCATCATCTCCACAACTTTTTCATATGCATCACAAGAACAATCACCCCTTGCTCTCTCATCACAGGCATGGAGGCAGTAGACCCTGTAACCTCAGAACAACTGGATTTATCAGAAACCAAATAAAAGCTGTTTTCATGGAAACATGCATTTATTGTGAAGCATTCCCAGTGAAAATCAACATCTTTCAAAATGTGTGTTTATTGAAAAAACCATTTGTGTACAAAAGTGTTGGTGTAGCTTTTATTTTCAAGACAAACCCCACTGATGCTGCATCCCAGCCCACCCGCGCCTCCTGTACAGGAATTCTGCACCTTGGGACCCAACCTCCTGCCATGGGTTGTATTGGTCTTTATTTCACACTTTCAACTAGAAGAGTCAGAGGTGCGAATGGAAGAGGTAAGTGAAAGCAGGGCGCTTCAGCAGTTGACATCAGCGTTTGTATGATGGCAGCCTCCTTCAGACACCACAACAGAGCATCAGCAGCTGCCGTAAAACGGACAAGTACAGCATTTTCACAGTACATTTCCTCGTCTGTCGAGTCATTATCTTAACTCACATTACCAATGGATGGCTCAGCACCATAAGCGACCAGCTAGCTCTTTAGATGCCTACAAAGCAGGTAACAGCAGAGAAGGAACATCACATCACAGTACAGTGCAAATGATTTGCTAGAGTTTGCCCAATGAGAACAAATCTGAAGTTGCTACCTACAGAGCACTGGAGCTGGAACACCCAAGCAAGAAGCAAACTGCAACCAGGACAGTTGGTCTTGTAAGTAAGTCTAGTGATGAGTCTGCTGATGACACTAACACCACAAATGGGAAGAGCAAGCTACATGACTTACTGATGGGTTTGGAATAGATCAGAAAATTGTCAAGAAGCAACTGCCCCTTTGTCTAGCCATATGGGAAAGCTGTGCCTGGAAAATGAGGCCAGGAACAGCAAAACCAGCTGTATGGTCTTCCCAGGACAACCTTTATGCACCCAATGAGCATCTTTCCTTTTACACTTTAGCTCTGCAATGCAACAGAGTCCACGATGAAACTCACTTTCACTACCTGTTGTTGGGCTGATTGCCCATCAAAGCCACAGGAACCCAACCCCAACCCAGCAGCCACGCTCACTGAGGTGCCCCTCATCAACACAACACAGCAGGAGCTGACACCTCACCTTCTCATTGCATCTGCTCATCAGCAGACATGATGTTAAACTATCTTTCACCGCTAAAGTATTTAACATCTCCCCCTCTGGGCAAGCCTCCAAGGCCAAGCTGCCTTGTGTTGGTCTTCAGGAAGGAAGTGAGGGACATGTACACCACGAGCTTTCCCTGTGCACTGAAAACGGAACACTCCACCTTCACAGTGCAGGACCAATGCAATAAGAACTCCTACTGGAAACTGTGTGTTGATCCCCCCCTCCGACTCCCTTTCCCTATTAAATAAGCAATCCATATGCTCTGGAGTGCCTATTCTGATTCACAGCTGCTAAGCTTCAATTTGCATAGTTCAAATGTTTCTGTTACCCACCGCATAAAACACAGATTTGACATTACAAGGTAGAGCTTCTGTCTGGCTATTTAACTCCTCCTTTCAGACAACAGAACAGATCCTCTATTCCTTGTCAGTGTTCCAACACTAATTCACTTGGAAAACAGTTAAGTACAACGATAATTAAAAAAACCCAAGACATACTCCTACACCATTAGTACCCAATTGCTGAGATAAATAACACTGAACCAATTACAGTCAAGGCCCCATGTACTCTGTGGCAAGATTACGACAAGAAAGTTTTAAGTTTGGGATATGCAGAATGAACAGCACACGTGCCACAGCTTTCAGAAGGGTATGTTCCTAAGTTTGTGTCTCCAAACCGTACCCGTTTGTCACACTGAGAACACAGCTTGTTCGCAGCAGCAACAGGAGGGAGCCGTGAATCGGCAGCTGGGGGTGGGATACAGTCAGGGCTTTTGGCACTCACGGGAGGATGAGGCTTTTGGCAAGAGGAAAGGGCATTTCTCTGCCTTTGTTCAAAGCTGTACTCCACTCCGAGGAACAGGATGAGGTAAGAGTTTCTCGTTCCCCATCAACAAAACAAAACAGGGATAAACCAACTTTCCTGGATGCACATTAGAACGTCCATCAGTGAAATACTGACTGATGCTGGCAACCAGTAACTGCCATTGCCAATACCTTGTTTAGAAAAATGGGGCCATTCAGACTTCAAAATTAGTTTCAAGCCATCTTGTTACATGATAGAGGAAGACAATGCAGGATGTATTTGTACTTTGAAACCAACTGCACCCATGTGTTACGTTCTTGTTGTAAAAAAGCAGTAAATATGCAGCCCAAGTCCACAGCTGCAGTGGACTCTGTGGCAACTCCACATCTGAGAGAGCACAGGGCCCTGAATATAGTTCAGTCGTACAGAAAACAGAACTACCATTTTGTATGTACAAACTCATAATGATAAACTGAACATTAACAGCAAAATTCCCAGGGCTCAGCCCCAGCTGCAGTTAAACTAACCTCAAACATTATCCCTATATTCAACTCTGACTGACAGTTACCAATACAAAAACATTCCTTATAAGGGACCTACATGTCAAATGCACAGGGACTTCAGACTGCAGATGTCTCCTTAATGCTGGGTCATGTTGCCTTCTCCACTCACTTCTGAAGAAGCTTCCCTTCTGCCAGCACCTGAGCTAGCATTAAAGTAGCTTTGCTATCACGTGCAAGGATGGAGGGCAAAACCCAGTAGCCATCACCTATACATAAGGGGGAAAGGGAAGATGAGTGTTTTGCAGTAGAGAAGAAAATGAGGTAACTTCATGACAGAAGTAAAACCTAACAGCATTATTTCAGAGGTGACTGTGCTCACCTAAGAACCATTTCCTCTTCCCCCCCTTCCCCTTTCCCTGGCTTCCTTTATCCCTTTACATACTGTTGGAAAAACCCGCTGTCCTTCAGAAACTAATATTATCAAAAGACACACTCAGAACTGGTAAGTTTTATGTCCCCAGGAATGACTTCCAAGTTCTTTCTTTTGATAAACAGCAGCGAAGAACAAGGGAAAGTAGTCAGCAATTTACAATTACCACTAGGGTAAAAAAAACCCGGTGTTGATGTAATCAAGAAGTTCTTAGCCTGTATAACAGAAAAGACAGCAACTTGAGATTAACACAAGTGGCATTCTGCCACAGCTTCCTACTGTCGCTGGTTTTCACCTACCAAACCAGCTGAACAGTATCAGTTCTTGTTAAAAAAATAAATAAATATAAGGAAAGACGAAAACAACTCACTTCCTTTGGCATCATTGCAAACGATTTACACTAACTCAAGAAAACTGATCACTGACTACATCTTAAAAAGTAATATGTATAAAGACCAAGCAAATGCATTTAGTATTGCACTGATATGAGTTCAAAATATTTACTGTCTGTGCCCTGAAATATTTTAGGTTTGGACACATTGGACAGAGCAGTACAGGGAACATCCCTGAACTAGCTACGCCTCTACAGCTCTGTTTTCTGGTTCTGTTCCCCTACCACTATGCTCTAGATATTTAACAGGTAAAATAATGTTCCTATTTCCTCTAGTATGATTTATAAACAAGAGTGTCTATGAAGCGTGAAACTATTTCAACTTGTACTTCATAGCTCCAGAAAACCCCTAGACATGTATTTCCCCACCCCATTAATCCACAGTTTAGGGGGAAAAAAAACAAGTATGGAAAAGATGACTTATACAGTACTCCATCACCCACAAGCCCCACTCTCTAGTCTGAGGATTTCTCCGAACTTCCTTGTCAGATATACTCTTAAAACTTAGCATCATATTCACAAAGACATCACAGCTCTCTTCAAATAAATGTACTAGTGTTTGAAGTTGCAAAACTAATAATTTTCAAGCTTTTGCACTCAGGATGAAATGTCATTTTAATACGAATAGAAAGACTGACTGTATGTACAAGCCAAGGTAAGACTTCAGTTCTCATTTATCAGAAACATCAATTCAAAAGAAAGCTAAACCAAGAACACACTTCTACTTCTATGTGCATTTGAAGTATGTACAGAAAAACACCAACACAGGCTCCTTGTGTCAAGTAGAGAAAAACGCAAGCAGTGATGAATTTTAAAGTACCTGGTAAGCAATCCTTAAATCAAAGCCCAAAATAAAGCTAGAAAACTGCTGCACAAAACAGCTGACTGCATCATATCTAGTACTCAAAGAAAATATTCTTTAATTCTTGGTACACTAGAGAACCAGAGTTTTCCTCCTTCAGACCCAGTGAAATCATTTTATCCAGAATGTACTGAAGAACATTTTACAACCATTTCAGAAAAAAAAAAAAAAGAAAGAAAACCAGCTCCATCTTTTTGTGCTAAATTGAGGCATACTCCTTATGAGAGCGTGTAGAAAACATGACAGATGGAAATCACTATTGATAATTCAAAATACGTTTTTAAATGGGAGCCTAGACTACTGTAAATGGCACACATAATAACCAGAGATGATGAAACATGATCTAGTGAGGATTTTCAGCTGTATGATGTAAGGGAGAGGAGAATTGGGTTTCCCAATTAGTCAGCTAGAAAGAAACCAGTTCTGAATAGGTCACCATTTGGAACTTTGGGTAAGTCTTCAAAGTCTTTCAGGAAAAAAATAGTTACAAGAACAATCAAGTATTTCAATGGTGCTCTCTTCAGCAACCCTACCTAGTATGTCTATTAAGTACAAGCATGCAAATATAGGTCAATCCACAGGCACATAGGATCCATGTTAAAAACAGTAAGATAGCTGTGATGAGTGGCACCAACAATTTTGATGACTAACACTCAAAAATGTTGCTTTCTGAATTACTAAATCGAAATCCTGAAGCAAGTTCCTGCTAGTCTTCGTCACACGGCTAAACACTAAAGTAGGCATGTTTTTTTCCCATTATCTTAGCTGAGCTCAAAGAATTTTTACAATATTTAGTAAGAAAAAAAATTAAAGTATTTCCCCTTTTTAAATTTACACAGACGTTTAATTAGCTTTATTTACAGAGCGGTTTTTTCAGTCTCCAATAGTGCCTAGATAGCATCATCAGGTAAGAGTGCCAGTTTTAAAAGAGAATCTATATAGAATCCTAAAAATAACAGATGGTGATGCTCCTCCAGAAGGGGCAAGCTGGACTACTGAAGCAGCTCTCTCTACATGGCTCAGTTACTCAGGAGTAATTCTGTTGCAGTCTCTACATCCCATGATTTTGAAGACAAGGCCACTATTACTGCATTCTGCAATGAGAAAGAAAAAAAAAAAGGCAATATTTTCAGTGTGTGAACCTGCAGCTCTGAGAAGTGGAAAAGTTCACAGATTAATCAGAACACATTAGTTTACCATTTGTTAAATTCTAATAGTTTACAGAAAAACTGCTTCAAAAGGCAGGTGTAGCTCACAAGTTTATTAATAATGTTGTATTCTGATTATTAGCAAATAATTAGCAAAGCAATGATTAGATCAAAAAGGGTCATGGATATGGCAAGACTACTTCAGTATACTAATGACTCCCTCTATTTAAATACATGTAATTGCTCTGCCCTACTGAAAAATACGTAAGTTATATATACTTACCCTATCAAAGCCCATAGCACAAAGGTTTTCTATTTTTTTGGTGTATTCTGGACTAGAAACTGGTGCTCCAGCATACACATGTGCCCAAAGTCGAGCTGTCTGTTTAAACATTTCTGGATTTTGTTTGTACTACACAAGAGAGAGAATGGAGGAGAAGGAGAAAGTTAAATCAACTCAGCAATCCAACCAAAAAGCACAGTAATATGGCAGATTCCAATCCGTCGTTCTTTCTACAACATCATCAGCAGTGCTTCACACTGATCATACTGCTAGTTCAGAGATAAAATTTGGAGGTGAGGTTTACACATAAGAGTAAACCTAGGCAAGCACTTCATTTAATGCATTTGGCTTTAGGTTAAATTACACGCTATGGGTGTTCTATATGTATAAGCACGTACTGCTCTCAACTGCACTGATGAGAAGTAGCTATGTTTAGCACAGCTACTGAAAATTTGTATTCAGTGTGGTAGAGCAAAAATTATCCCTATGTTAATATCTCCTGAATGTACATATGCATACTACTCTAAAGTAGTTCTGTAATCATTTCAAATATGCCTGGTTTTATACACTTCAAGTAGGTCTGCTGGTTTTCCATCAGGGCTGACATTTTACTACCAGGCCTCCTCCTGAAGTAAGTATATTGTATGTGCAAAAGAAGGGCTGAAAAACAGGCGAGTATGTGCAAAAAAAAGCCAGGAAGCTGCAACTCTTCATGTAAGCTATTAATTACTGGAAAAAAACATCATGCAGGAGATGTAAATCTATTTTACAACAATCTCATCACAAGTTTTCTAACAAACAACAGAATGAACTTTACCACACAGTTTTCAGAACTTGAAAGCCAAGAAAGTGGGTCATCTGTCATAAACTGTACTCAGAAAAGCAATGCGTTTTCTATTTTAGCAACTTCTGCATGTAATGTCAAGTTCAAGGGGGTTTTTGTATTTAAAAAAAACCAAACCTCTTTCCCTTATTCATTAAAATGTAGGTATTCCCATCTTTGGAGAAATAATAAATTATAGCTCTAAATAATAAACCAAGGTATTAAGAATTACATTATTTAAATATATAGATGCATTTTAAAGACAGAAATGTGGCTGATTATCATTCTAACATTTTATTCATACACGAAAACAATCATTTAATCTATAAAGCACCGTCAAAGTGAATACAGTATGTTTACTGCTGTACTTTTTAACTTTACCTCTCCTAAGCAACACACATCAACTACACTGCTTTGTGTGCTTTGTCCACCTCCCACTCATTCTGCTCCACATGAGGTAATTTGTATATTTACTATCTGACTATTAGCACTGAAACAAACATGGGAGACAATATATTGTTGGAAATAACTGACTGTGTTCTAAGTACAGGGGTCTGTAATGCCTGTCTTTGGGTGCAATAAGTAGAAAAGAGGAAAGATTAAGTTACGCATTAGTAGCATCCTCAAGTACTATGTTCTGCTCTTAAGAGATCTTCCCCTGACTATTTTTTCCGTATGTATTTCAGAACACTGCCAAGCCTAGAAAGCAACTAACTGAAGTGCGAAGGATTAGTCATAACTGCATAACTGCATTTTATTCAGAACCAGCTTTCAGTGGCCTATAAATAAAATTCCTTTACTTAGGTATCCGTAAATACTCTAGTTTCTCACTGAATTGAGAAAAGCCTAAAGGCACCTCTTACTGATGTCTCTATGTCAGGAATCTGAGGCAGTCAATGTACTTAAAAACAGTTGCTGTACTTAAAAAAAAAAAGTACAGGTTGCTGTACTTAACAAACACAGCAACCAGTTGAAGTAGTTTTGACAACAGATAGCTGGTGTCTGAAAATACTGCCGTTATTCCAACAGGAGTTCTCCCTGGGATTCAGCTCAAGACCTTGTAGAACACTGACATTTACCTGGACAGCCTCGCAGTCTAACACACAGTTTAATAAACATAATGAAAAATGAGTGTGAAGGATAACAAGAATAATCTTGTGAATTTCTGGTTTGGGAGAAAAAACCCAACCAACGAAACCTCCAAGCAAACTAGACCCCAGCACCAAATAAAACACATGAAGGAACTGGGTGTTTACCACCAAATCTCTCAAAGATGCTATAATCACTTTTTATTTATACAGAGATGCTTGTAACTCAAGGCCAAGCCGCAGCAGAGTTTCCATGCTGGTAACAGGAGAAACTGAATCCTCCCCACATCAGCCAGGCCACAGTCCCACTGGACACATCCCCACAAGCACCTGAAAGGCAGCGTGGAAAATTGCTCTTCCGAACCTAGAAATTTCATGAAGTTTTCTGCCTGAGAAAACACTCCAGCCTAAAAGCTTCTACAAATCTGTTACGATTCCCACACAAAATTCTACCACTGGACCAGAATGGGAAACACTGTTCTTGTTCTTTGAGAGAAGGAAAAAGTGGGTTTGTTTAATAAAGAGAGGCTGACAGCATGGGCACGCATCTGGCAAGAAAAAACAGCGCAGGGACATGCCTGGTGGCCTCAATAGCCTCTGCAACAATCCTCCCAGCGCAGAGGAATTCAGTCTGACAGAACTGTTCAGGGACATTTGTTCAGAGCAGCCTTAGAAGTACTGCAGAATCCCACAAGCAAACCTACTGCACTACTGAGGACAGTAGTAGCAAACACCATTCTCCACACCCAGTAGTGCAAAGGGCAACCTCTGATCTCCAAGTTTCCCTCCAAGTCCTGCCAGGTTTGATAAACTGCTAACTTATCGTCCTACACAGATTTTACAGGGAAGGAGTGCACACTCTGTCTCCCTATCTTGGAAGGTCCTGACTTACAGGAGGTACAGATGAGACTGATGCTGGAAGAACCTTGTAACTGCTTTGTTCTTTCATTATGGAAATACAGCCTACTACCAGTTGCTGGGGAACCCAAGCCTTCTCTCTCTTTTTCCCCCAGAGTAGAAAGGAGGAACAACACACATACTTGGGACTTTGTTGAAAACTGTCAGACTATAAGTTATGGAATGACTGTTCCCATCTTTCAACAACACTTCAAATAGAATGACATCATTCCTGGTATGGATCAGATCCAATTGATATTTTATTGGCATTTGTAAGTTACTGCTACTGTCTGAAAAGTAACAAACCCTGTCGATTATAGAATTCTGCTAATACAAATTCAACCAGCGACAAACAGTTATCCCAAGTACTTACAAAGGCAAAAATACACAGAATGCTTCATTCAGATAAATCGCTCCTCAGGAGTAAATGCAACAGTAATTCATCTGAAGTCACTATTCATAAAATTGTCATCAAATAAAATGCTCAACATTATTCATATTCATGGGAAGAGGAGCTACATACCAAGCCATATTCAAGGAACCCTGTCAAGTCAAAACTTTAAACCAATACAAATTGCTTTTCTTATACTAGAAGCTGCAGATTTTAAAAGCCAGGTTATATTGGAAGTCGTTTTACTATGCTGTTATCTTCCGACATTCCTGACAAGCTAAATAATTCATGCTTACTGTAAGGGAACTTTTCAATAAATTCTTTAAAAATCTTCATCTCCCCCAGGTTTTGGGACCTAATCTGAGTTAGCAACAGTTACAGAAGTGTTACAAATTCACAGTCAACTGAGTATCTTACCTGGTTTGCCACTACTGCATCTTGTGGATCATCTGGTTCTGCAGCTGCCAACAATGCTTGCAGCGATAACAACACCGTTCTTAGAGTCATTGCTGCTGCCCTAAAATTAAACATTTGAAAATGACTTTATCAAATCCCATGCTTGTACTCACCTTTGCTGCTACACTAGTAGCATAGAAGATAAGAGGACATGTCCACATTTGATGTCTAAGAATCGTAATTTTAAACTGTTGTAGCTTATAGTCCTTAGAATATCATTCTATATATTTCAGTAGGGTTTTAAATGTGGACTTTCTTTCTAATATTGCTTTCTTAAACTTTTGGAAAATAAAGTCATTGACCTGCAGATTTGACCATGCCCACTTAACAGAATTCGATTCATCCGAAAAATAAAAATGCCACTTTGAAGTTTGTGTCATCCTTCATTACTACCAGTAACAGCACGCTGTGCAAGGCCTAGGTACAGAGCTGTAGCCCCTGTGTGCTCCCTCTGCTGGCACGCTGCATAGCAAACCACCATATACAGAACTAGTGACCTGTATTTTAAATACTTGTAACAGATTAGGAATTTTATATGTTGGATATCTTTAGCATTGCACCGGTTTTAATACAACATTTTGCAGTGAAATGTGAACAATTCAGTGAATTAACACTATAGTAAATAAAAAGGTCTGGGTATTACAGAATATGCAATTGAAAATACTAATCTCAGCTTCCTCTCATTTCAACCTGACATGACTGTCAGAAGCAGGAAAACATTCTGTAGTCATGATGGTGCTGTAAAGTCACTCGTTTGCCCCTGTGAAAGAACACTGTCAAAGGTAGCACAGGTCTACAGTCAGAGCTTTATGGTTCTGTTCTCATAATTAATCTTGATCTCAAAGCATAGTTAGACAGAGACCTCAATTTAGTAAGGGAAAACCAAGTATGTTGATAAAAACACTCAGAAAAGTATGAAATGGTTACACATTGTAAACTTGGAAAGTTGTAACTTTTTAAATACACAGTTAAGTTTTGATCATGAATACCATCTCTGATCTACCATTTCACCATGGCACATACTGGAAGCCAAACAAGGACCCCACAGAATCTGTGGAAGTTTAGTGTTTCAGCTGATTTGAAGTGTTAAGCAGACTCTTAACTGCTGGCAAAGACAGATGCTCAAACCAATACACAAACTGCTTACTTTCCGTAAGAACTAGTAGAAAGGTAAGTGGGGGAAAATGTGCCATCTTGGATTTGAGTGAAATGTCAGAGGCAAGTTGTGAAACACAGACATCCAACTTCGTACAAACTGCTCCATTTTCAAGCAACAGAAAATAGTTTCTTCTTTTCAAAAGACTGAAAGTAAATGCACAGTCTGTTAGAAGAGTCTGACCTGACAGTCCAGGTACTTAGGAAACAGTCTGCAAATCTATTTCCAGTCTCAGACTTCAGAAATTTATGTATTTTCCACTACTTGGGCACCAGTATTGAGGTATTCCAACAGAGTACACCGATGAACAGAGAACAGATACTGGTAAAATGCTTGATGTACATTTGTGACACCTACATATTATATTCCAAGATCACAGAATCATAGAATGGGCAAGTTGGAAGGGACCTTTCATGATCATGTAGGTCCCACCCCCCTACAATGGGCAGGGACACCTTCCACTAGACCAGGTCGCTTAAAGCCCCATCCAACCTGGCCTAGAACACTGCCAGCGATGGGGCACCCACAGCTTCTCTGGGCAATCTGTGCCAGTGCCTCCCCACCCTCACAGTAAATTTTTTCCTAGTATCTCATCTACATCTACCCTCTTTCAGGTTAAACCCCATGTCCTACAGCTACATGTCCCCGTAAAAAGTTTCTCTCCAGATTTCTTATAGGCCCTCTTTAGGTACTGGAAGCTGCTCTAAGATCTCCCCTAAGTCTTCTCTTCTCCAAACTAAACAATCCCAACTCTCAGCCTCTTTTCATAGAGAGGTGCTCCAGCCCTTTGGTCATCTTTGTTGCTTACATTTACAGCTCTCCCGCTATGTCACAAGACATTCAAATACAGCATTCTTCCTTTATTGTTTCTAATTCTAGATGATTTTTCCTAGAAACTCTTTCTGGTTTTAGGTTGATAATCATCACTGAACTTTCACAGTACAGTGTTCTGCATGAGAACACAAGTGAGAAACATCCCAAGTGACTGAGATTTTAATTAGCACATACTGTCTCATTCCAACTGCTGCATCAGCTTGAAGTCCCTCAAGCTGAATTTTGCAGACTTAAATCTTAACTTTGTGCTTTTAGATCCGGATTCTGACAAATCACAACCCCCTAACAACATACCATTATCTTTTTCCAATGCTACTTTTTAGTAACTAAGCTTTAAGAATTTCAACTTCTCTTCCAGTTAAATTTAAGTAGCTCAGGTTCCAAGCTGTATGCTTCTTCCAGGCCAAAGAACATTTCTTTAAATTACAAAGCTGGGGATTAACTAGTAAGATTGTATTTAATCTGATAAAGAACACCTGGTTACTGAAACATGTCCTCAGTAGCATTACAAGAGCCCAGCTAACATAGTAAACTCAAGAGTACAAAGCATCTTGGTTGAGTTGGAAACACACCCCCAAAAACCTCAGTGAAAGAGCACAGACATGTTTTTGCTTTACCTATGCTATTTTACTGTTTTAATTTCCTATTCTTCGTGATGCCTACTTGTTTATATGCTTGAAATTAATTTATTAAATGTACACGTTGATTACTTCATTCACAGTGCTATCTGCTAGAAATAAACCAATGTAATGCAACAGGTTGACTATTCCAGCATTCGGATGTTACTGAATGCTGAGTCTTTCAGACCTTACTATGCTTGAATGGGTGCAACTGCTTTTATTTTTATGCAGTGACTTTCAGGAACTACCACATCCACATACTATAAAACCTAAAGTCTTTTTTTCTGAGTTAAAGATTTTAATTACACTATCTTCTGAAGTTAAAAAACAAAAAAAAAGACTTAACATGAAGTATCTATCAACTGTAACCGATACTAAAGTTACCTTCATCAAATAAAAGCTGTTCTGCATTTGCCTTTACAGAAATTCTTCTATTTTAAAGACACCTGAAAATATTCCCATTATTTCAAGTAGAGAAGACACAAAACGGGTCACAGCCAGTTGTGCCACTTTTACATGCAATTTACTTCCATTCACACTGTACCTTCTAGGAGTGGAAAGTACACCTAGGTGAGCAGGAAGCATTACTAAGGACCAAAGGTGCCATGGATGCCCAGAACAAGGGCATCTCTGTTCTGCTATGCCTGTGCCAGCCATCTCTGGCTTTCAAGACTGCTAGGCCCCCCCTTCAGTCTTTCCTCATTTGTTATGTTTGTAGATTTTTATACAAAGCATACTGGGACTTGAACTTCTGATCTGACATTCCAATTTCAAAGTAAGCAATAAAAACAAATACCTCATCCGTTTGGATATACAGATGGATGCGCGCTCAGAGAACTCAAACTCTGAAGTAATAACTTTACAGACAAGACTAGTTCAGCTACATATGAAAAAATGTTCAAAAAATGTAGCTTACAACTTATTTTCAAGTCTCATGTCTCAAAATGACCTTTGTATCTCACGCATATGAAAGTCTTCATTAGACATAAACGTTTAAAGAAGTATTCTTAAAAGAAAACCTGGTTTTTACAGATTTTTTACATTTACAGAAAACGTGTTACTGTTCAGCTGCTGTTTGTATTAAAAAGAAGGAATTAAAGTTTGAGATTAATAGTAAAGAAAATCTGGTGTATTTTGTGTAATTATTGTATACTCATGTAACATTTTCTATATTTAGGACACCGATTAGTTTTCCTGATCAAAGTGAGAAAGAAAGGCTTGCTCCTTTCTATGGAGCTTAGTCTTAATTTCTCAGACATAAATTAAAATTCTCAGAAGAAACTGGAGGGGTATCTAAAAATAGATTCTCACTTCCCAAGTACCTTAAGAAGCATTTCTTCCTTCCCTTTACCTTGACAGAATAAAGTGAATGGAGACGACTGTCCAGAACTACATTTACAGGCACTCATAAGGTAGGACCTGTTCCTCATCAGCAAAGAGCACAACCAATTCTCATCATCAGTTCCGGAGGAAAATCTATGCCAACAGTGGCACAAAACTAGAAAACCAAACACATCACACGGCATCCCCACAGGCTATGAAAGAATGTGCTGCAAAGAAAGTTGCATTTTCCTTAAAACAAACTTCCAGTGGAAAAATAGAGGTCTTCTGCATTTTCCAGTGCTCGTCAAGGGTTTATTTTTCCAGAATAGAATCCTGAAAAAAACAGAAAGATTTCCAACTCTTCTTACATTTGAAGTTTACTTCTAGGTGTGGGTTTATGAGCAACATCTCATGGAGTTCAAGCAATTCCCTTTGCTAACTCAAGCTAGCTGCAGACTTGGATCTTAGGTTTTTTCTCTCCTCTGTCCCAAAGGCAAGGTCTTGTATCATTCCTGACAGAGTTCTGTCTAATCTGTTCTTAACTGGAGCCTCACAGGTTTCTTGGAAAATCTATTTTAATGCTTCACCATTGGTATTCTTGGTATTCTGCATGCTAAAACGGCTTTCCAATATTTCATTATAGATCATACTTGCTTAGCTCATATTTGCTTTTTATTCTGGATTTTTTCCAGTGGTTCCCATCTTTCTTGGAATACAATGCTTAAAGTGGTTACACTGCTACAATGGAAGCCTAACCAATAGTAAATAAAAAAACAGGCAACTTATATCATGAGTTTTGCAGGCAGAACTTCCTACATCCTGGCATCATATTTGCCTTGCATGTTACATTATATTGCCTTTGTCCCATGACATTACTGGTTCCTGCTTTCTTCTAAAGTTTCCAATAACCATTGACTTCTATTCCCATCCCAAAAAGCTGCTTAGCTACTGTACAGGCTTGCAAGTTCGACATCTCCAAAATGGGAGGAAATGCCAGTAACATCTACCAGTGAGAAGCAGAGCTCACTACAGGGAAGCACAGTCCCTAAGAGAACATATGTATTTTGCTCACTTACAATTTTTTATTTATTTATTTATTTTTAGGTAGTATCTTGGGGCATTTCCATTAAAAAAAGAGCACCACTAAGTTTGGGTGAATATAGTGATATTAAAAAGCACAGCAACCCAGCTGTGCCCAGCATGCCTGAGGTAAGAAACCTCTTACCTTTTGATGAGCTGAAAGAGTCCTAAGAGGATTATGAAACATCGCCAGTTTTAGTTCTTCATTTTTAAAGGGTAAGTAATTTTCCATTTAGGAAGTTTTTACTTACGCTCTGTACATTCCTCCCTGGACACAATCTCTCAGTTACTCTGAGAGGGAACCCAACAGAACACAGGAACAGCTGCAGACAGCAGACTGCTGCCCTGCTCTGTCCATCAAACATGGCTACTGGTTTATTTTTATTATTATTATTTAAAAAAATAACCTGCTATATTTACTTCATGTGTGAAATAACTAAGTTGGTTAATCCAAGAAAAAAAGCTCTGGGAACTTGTACCAGGGTCTTATGGAATCTGGAAAGAGGGAGGAAATAAATAAGGCCTTTGAGTGGAAACCCGCTGTATTGTCACTACAGGAGAAATACAAGACTGGGCACCCATAAGGGAAATTTAAAAAAGAGAATAATAGAATAGCTTTGACATAATGCAAGGGGGGAAAGCCTGCCTGCTTGCTGAACAGTTCCTCAAACAATGTTAATATTCTCTGCACTTTTCTCAGAGCTGTAAGGAGGCTCAACGGTCCTCAAATACCCTGAACAAAACACAGCAGTTTTAGATGTCACAATGTATAAATGAGTCCAAGATAATGATTACTATGAGCTGGCTGTTGCTTATGTATCTATTAAAACTTCAGTAGAGCCACTACGAAAAAGAAATACTCTGATTATTCACTTTTATTTCAACTGTCAAACCCACAACAGCCAAGAGGTTTCTGCAGCCATACAACCAGCCACAATACAGTCACTTGATAATCACTGCTCAAAGGATTTACAAAGAGTCACTTTCAAGTAATTTAGCTATCGGGTTTCAGTGAACAGTATTAGATACATTTTATATTTGAGAATAAAACAGTGAGATAAAATACTAGCCTGGAAGACAAACAGAGGCCACAGTAGGTGAAACCACGTAACAAAACTCGCATCAGACCAGAACAGTATTCCTTTTACAAAATCATACGCTTATTTTAATTCTACCAGCAAATGGTAGCTGGTTTGCAAAGAAACTGGCATAACAGGTATTACAAATCTAAACGTGATCAAAATCCACAGCTGCAAAGAATTTCAGCATCAAGCATATACTGTGAAGAAAGGATTTCATTAAACTCATTAAAAATCATTTAAAGACAATACTTCACAAACTGATAACACCTCCTGCCAACATGCAGAATACCTCAACTATGCTCAACAGAAAATCATTATCATGGGATAGGTGAGTAGCAAACAGACTTCTTTTAACTATACAAACACATTAAAGTCTTTGTATTCACCGTATATAAATGAGTATTTTATCAGTTTATTGACTCTAAGAAACCCTACTAAGTCCCATAGGCCCCAATTCTGTCCTCCAGTTCCCACTGACCTCACTGAAAAACACAGCTATGCACTGGAATTTGAGACTGTAACAGAGCAGCATTATTCAGTTAAGAGCATTACAAGTCAACGAAGTGGCACTTCAGAAACAGAGCTTGTTACTAACAGATTTGGCAAGACAGACCGTGGAACTAAATATATGTTCTCAAACACAGCCATCAGAGTATTTTGGAATTTCGTTTGTCCCATTTAACTTTGAATACCTGTGAAATCAATTAAATATGAAATTATCAAGGTTAGGCAGATGTTGCTTGAATTTGTTTACTTTCTAATTAACCTATCATTTTATTCAGACCACTGTTCTACTTATACATGCAGGAATCTTAAACATGGTGACATGGCCATTTATCAGTTCAAATAACTAAATCAGCATATACTGAAGAACATTGAGCAATTAATTTTAACAATACTAACCATTTATATGGCTTAGGAAATTTTAGAAAGCTATTCAGAATAAAGTCTTCTCTCTCACAATACTGAAATCCTTCAAACAAGAAAGGATGGAGGTAGCCACAATTCTGCTCTATTCCAAAGGACCAGAGGCCTTGACAAGCACTTTAACAATGCTCAAGTGATTTTCATTTACCATTCCATGATTAAGAAAATGAAGGGATCACTACATTAAGAATTACAGAATTAAGCCTCCTCCTATAATACATTAAGAAATATGCCTCCTCTTTGCCAAGTTCTGTGAAATTCTTTTCTTAGCGCTTCCAAGTGAAGAAAGTGCTTCAAAGGAAGAGTTTAAAAATACACACATTGGCAATAATATTGGTGCTTCCTGTGCTACCCAGTTCAAATATACAGAAGGCAAGTTCTTGCTCCATTACTCCTATTTTCATCTCAATGAAAGAAGATTAATGTCTTTTGTGGTTTAGTTTCCCTTCCCCTTGCACCCATCAGGCAGAACTGAAACACAGATTAGGTTTTCTGTGCAAGACCTAGCTTTCAAAGACTACAAGAACACAAGTCAAATCCGCTCCCCTGTTCTTCCTTTCCAAATCTCAATAGCTTTGACAAGAAAAAAAAAAAAAAAAAAGAAAAAGAAAACTCAGGTGAAGCTCATGATTTTAGGTCTTTGTTGCCTTTTGGCATTTTGAGCTTGATCAGCCACTGAGAAGGCTAAAAACTTTCCTCTTAAAAGCTATTAACTGCTTCATTCTTAAAGCAGCAGTTTTGGTTTAAGACTGAATTTTGTTAGACTGTTTCAAGTCACAATGTTTGGCAATTCTGAAAAGACAACAGAACACCTGTTCCAGGGCTGGAAATCAAAATGTCTCCTGAATTCCACTCCTTTGCTACATAAGCAAGATAATCCATTCTTCTCCATAGAAAACACTAATTAGGGAATGTATTAAAGTAGCATGAAGATAATAAGAAAATGTGAAAGAAAAAAAAAGTCATTACTTCAGTTTTAATTCAGAATCTGATAAATAAGCTAAATAAGCGTGACTTCTGCTAGACTGCCATTCTCAAAACTTTTAGGGAAAAATGTTAGATAAGTGTTGGTTTTGAGAAACGTGATGTTTAGGGGCTTCAATATGGACAGATTAGCCTTGGAGGGAGGTGCTAGAAGTCACAAACCTTGATATTATGAGTATATCATATAGATAGTGCATAAAGGAGTACCAAAAGATGGGAGAAAAAAAAACCCAAACCAAACTCTGAGCTTAAAAACTTCGAATAAATTTTTCCTAGGAGAGTATTAATGACAGTGAGAGAGAGTTCCATGTTAACCACCTCTGCTTCCAGAAATAAAGGATTTTGCTTCCCCATATGCAATAAAAAAATCCCAGCACAAAACCCAACCAGACAACTTCGTGCCCATTCACCCTCAGCTCTTCATGCCCATCTCATTTAGAGTTCAGTCTCAGGAAACTGTAACTTGCACAGCTAATGAGTCATTAATCTCCAGTATAATTGCAGGTTGGTATGAATAACTAGGTGCAGGCACTGGCTTTACTGATAGGAAAATTATACCATGTACCACAGCACTTATGTTGAAAGATTCTACTGCCTCAAAGAGTATCAAGTGCTCCAAGACTGTAAGAAAAGATACGCAGTTCCAGAAACGAAAAATACAACATGATCATTATTTCATTTTAGAATTTACTGTATCCTGTGCCACATGATTTGCATAATCTTCTCACTCTGCAGAAGATGAATACACCAGATGTGTAACCTGCAAGACCTCAACTCAAGCTTTCTGCTCTTTCAAACCCAACTGACTTCTGCTTGGCCAATAGCAGTCTTGATGAAACTGTTGACTTTACAAACATTTGAAGCTTGTATGGATTAGGCATTATCTGTTGAGGAATTACAGTCCTATTCTTTTAGGGCAGACATGGAGGAAAATAACAAAGCTTATTCCATTCATGTTAGGTATCATGTCTATCATACAACTGGTGCATATAATCTTCAAACCAGACAAAATGTATTACTGGAAAAACAAATTAACTGCTACAGGTTGGACACAACTGTTAACAGCTGTTACAGGCTGGACACTTACAGGTCTATCCCACAGATGTGGGCCATTAACATTTTCAGTAGTATGAATCAAAAGTCAGCAACTAAAAAGCAAATAGTTTACAGAGGTGCAAATCATCAATATTACCAATGAGACAGAGGAGCACAGTCAGTCTCTTTTCCCTTTCCAACTGCTGACCTGTTACCTTTTATACTCCCAGACTTACTTCATACATTGTTTTAGCTCTATCAGAACCGATTTTTATTTGGAAGTAGAAGAGTGAAGATAAACACTTGGGGTTTTTTTCTGCATACACTTTGGGAGGCTGAAAGGACAAAATTTAGGAGGCAACAGATAGTTCTTTTCCATTAACAAATACTACCCAAAAATTTTAAGACCTACAAACCCACCGAAAACAATGAAACATTCACCATAGTCCTCGTATAGAATTTTCTGGAAGAGCTCTCTATGCTTATAGTATCTACTTGGTGCTTTCCAAATTACCACCCAATCTTTTCACTTGCATCTTTTCAACTTACACTACTGTACTGAAATACTGTAAACTTTAAGGACATCTCAAAGTACAAATGCAAAGCGAAAAGCAACATGAGCTGTTGCTGCCTATCCAGGACACCAGTGTATCTGATTTTGAGCATTTAAATCTGTATGGAATCTTACCATTGATCTTTCAGAATATCCAAACAAATGGCTCCAGTGACTGAGCTAATGTTAGGATGCCATATTTTGGTGATAAACCGCACCTAGAAGATAATTTAAAAAAACAAAACCAGTTATTAAATGCCATATTAAATAAGCATTTTAAATAATATGATAAAGAAATACTAATTTAGGAAATATCAAGCTAAAACCAGAACTTAAGACATGATACCACTTATTTCACAAGGCTTCAAGTTTGCAAGGCCATTTGTTAGACAGAACCCTGCTTTACTCAAAAACAGAACTTGACTGAGGACACCAAACTCATCCCTGACTGCCTTCCCATACGCTGTCATGTGCGCATATCCCTGCATCACACAAAGCCCGATTCCTTGGTGGGTGCTACTACTTCTACAAACATCCAGTCTCATTACCTATATACAGAAAGCTTTTCAAGAAACCAGAACTTAACTAGATTACAATTATTTTTCTTAACTGTTGACAGAATCTAGTCCCAGCGTGCATTCATTGATCCTGTCCATTTTTTTACACTAAAATAAAGTGTATTCATGCTCACAAAGCACTAATAAAATCAGTTTGGGGTGGAGTTTTTTCGTTTATTTGGGGGTCTATTTGTTTATTTGGGTTATGGTATTTTATTTTTTACAGATGCTAAGAAAGTTAAAAGCAACATTTACTTCTGAAAGTCTCAAAACCCAAAGCTGTCCTCTGAAAGGATTATATATACACCTTTAGAAATTTCTCCTTCATTTTCTTCAAACCCCTTATTTGAGGTTGCACTTTAACTATCTTCTAGTGATTCTGACCTGTCTCTTTCTCATCTCTACCTCCTCACTCCAAATTCTTTTTATATGTACCTTTCAACTTTTGCCCCTGACCTGCGAGCAAATCAGTGCAGAGAACACCTTATTCTTCAGACACTACAGCAAAAGACTATACATACAGGACTACAGAAACATCAGTATAATCACGGTATATAAACAGGTAAGACCATAACAGCTTTGCTTTCTAGGACAGAAAATAAGAGATCATGTCAGCTGAGCCACTTATTCACTAGCTCAACTCTCTAAATCACTTTGAAAATGTAAAAAGCCATGTAAATACCAGGTAATTGCTCACAATGAATGACTGCAAACAATGGCTGTCAAAGGACATTCTGAACAAGATAAAAAAATCTTTTAGATGAAAGGCAGGGCTAGGCCCAAGCAAAAAGGCCTCCCATTCAAGACTACAAATTCCAGAATAAGCGCTACAATGCTACAGTGCACTGAGCTTCCAACAGCCGCCTATAAACTTTGGAAATGGAAGTCAGCAAGCCCTAAAGCAGCAATTTAAAACCATGGTACATAGACCCATCTTTCAGTGTCTATGACCCACTTCAGCTCTCCTTATTTTAGCTCTCTACAGAACACATACAGATGAAAAGAACTGAAACCAACACACATTTCATTAAGATTTTCTGTGTCTTTCACTCCAGCCTCAAGGAAATCATTCAAAGGACAAAAGCCAAGGAGCTACAGGCACCTCTCCCTTCCTCCTTTCCCCAGTTCCCTCCCAGTGTTACACATCAGGGCAAAAATTATCAAGATCTAGGACACATTCTTAGTTCAAAGACACCTTTCAGGCAAACAGAAAGCAAGTCAAGAAGCTGAGTCAGACAACACAGGAGTCTGCCGATATGTCAGAAGCCACTGAAAAAAGGATGAAATCAGGGCACAGAAATGCAGTTGCAGCTGCACATGCACTTATTCAGATTGATCCATTTAGGAGGGAAGTGGAACCACAAATTTAAAGTACTAAAAAGATATAGTAAAGTTGAAAGGGCAGGAAGTTGCAAAAAAAATATGAGTTACTTTACCACACTTATCTCTGTCTCTCATCCATGCGCATGTTTTATGCACTCCCTCAGAAAAGTTGCAGTAAGACCACTGTATTTCTCTATTGGGTCTTCAAGTCACACAACCGTACACCTCACTATTCAATTACTATAAAATGGATAGGTTAGACCCAAGGCTCTACTAAATATACCTTATGGAGCCCAAGAAATTAAAAGAACCAATAATTATTTGTTACAGCATTTCTTTGATGATGGGAGTGAGGGGAGAAAGGGGGAGAAGGAGAGATAGCCATACTCTCTACATCAAGTAAAACTGTATGAAAACTAAGAAATTACAGAAGGGTTGACAATAAGGCAAAAGTTCCTCCCCAGAATTTGCCAGTTTGTACTTTAAGGAATAACGAGAGCGTTTTCTGATTGGATACAGTTATGCATCCTGAATTATTTCTACCTAAATATGGGAGCTCCAGTGGCTGTCTAGAGAGAATTAAAAAAAGAGATGGGTAATACAAAGAGACTACACACACAAGCAAAGAAATAAGAATGCTCAAAACCAACTTGTTAGCTGAATTACATATCCAAAACACTGTTTACAGTACCTTAGGAGGATTAAATGGATACGTTTCTGGAATTTTTATCTCTAATTGATACCTTCCACCTGCAAAAGAACAAGTTGGAAATCAAAACAAAAGAACATGACAATAAAGTTTACATTTCTAAATGGACAGGTTTTCAACAGATACATTAGCTAGAAGATACTTCTAAATTCCATGTATTTTATTAAGAAATGCATTTAAGTCAATATAATAAAGTAATATTTGCTTATGCAAATCAGAATTTGTATTTCCTATGTATATTTAATGTGTATATTCTCCTGTAGCTTCTCATCTCCAATGTTGTAATTTCCATGCTCTGTTTTAGTAATATACCAAAATATCAACCAAGTATCCCCCAAACAGATACAAAAGGCCACAGGAACATGCAGCCTGAACATGAGATTACATTATTTTGACTGTTTTCTGATACCTTATGCCAAGATGCCTAATCTTCTTCACATTACACCTGAAATTACAGCTGAAAATAACTATTTCATTTTAAGCTTTCTGGAACTCTAGAATGTTTAACTAAGTCAGTTAAGAAAAGTTCCCACAATGTGCGGGGAAAAAAAGCAACAACAATAAAACCAACCAAACAGAGCCACCAACGTTACTTCCACTATGCTCTATTATTATTGTCTGAACTAGTTACTTCTGTTCCAATTCTGTAAACGCTTTGATACACTAGTACTAACAATACAGCTTGCTGGATTACAGCATTCAATAAAGGATAGCATGAGCCTGGCAGACAGAATCATGCTCTACTACCCTTCCCTGAACATTTCTGTTTTCTCTCCCAGTTATCATATCATTACCTATGTCTGTTTCAATCATAATTTTGTTAACATTTAAGTTTACTATCAATACCTCCATTTTACACAGTAATCTCAGACTGTCTGCCCACTGAAGATCATTTGCCAGGTAGCAGTTTAATGACAAAAAGAACACAGCATAACAAAACACACACACCAATTTAGATATCTAGTTTTTATAAAAACAAAGTATTTCTCCCCATTTGCTATTCTTTCAGAAAGAAACCTTTTAATATGCTTTGTTACAATCCATAAATTTCCTTGAATGAAAGTTGAAGTATCTGCAAACTATTTCCTCTGGGATTTCAAGAGTGATTTATTCTTTTGCAAAACACTGTATGCAAAACCATCTCTCAAGCAGTCCCAATACAGGCTGCAAGATTCACATGCAAGGAAAAGAAACCCTCAAAGGAATACTCTGAACAGTTATAGTCTATTCCACCTTTTTATCTGTGCCAAAATACAGTTCAGCAGCTAACACCACCTCTCACTTTTAAGATTTAATTCAGTCTAATATACTATACCTGAAACTGGTTAATATCACTTTGGTATTTTTACACTACATTCTACAGCTGGTTTTCCTCAATACTACAGCATCTTGAGATTACGTAACAAAATACAACAGAAGAAAGCCCAATAAATACAAAATGATCATAGTTAAAATTCAAGTTGGATCACTTTTCTGCTTAGAGGACAACACAGGTGAAATATTTTTGTAGGCCTGTATATCAAGAACGGACCTTAAGTAAGTTCACTTTTCTTTTTGCCTAGATTGAAGCATAATTCACCATCAATTTTTCCTGAGAAACAGAACTATTACACTGTTCCTGAACTGCAAAAATTCTCCAGTCCCTGTATGATTTTACTGCTACACCATTCTGTAACGTATTATAAAACCTACACTGAGGTATTACCGTTTCTTCTGCTTTCCATTAAAACTCGCCTTTAAAGGACAGACAATTACAACTTTCTGCATAACAGGCTATTCAGCCACCAAATTTTTTCCACCTGCAATGTACAAGTCCAAAAGATTTTAAAACTGCAGGGACTAATGAGTTGGTAGTATTATTTTTACAGTACTGTTGCCATCCAGTGAAGTTTACAGTTAAAAATACAGGCTTGAAGATTTAGACGGAACAAATCTGGATATTAATTTCCTTAATACTACATTTAGAAACCAACTGAGTTACACGCTACCTTCTGCATGCCAATATTTCTGCAGAATTTTTTTAAAAAGGAGTATGCATACGTGTGGCTCTTCTGTACCTATTCGATACTTGAGATTGAATTAAACGGCAATGGCAGAACATTCCTTCTGTAATCCTACTGGAGCATACATCTCACAATAGAGTTAGGGTATTTCTTCAAGAAAAATAGTTAAAACTTGCTCTATTATAAATTTTGCAGTTACTGTGGCTCACATGTAAGCTTGGCTTGAAATTAATACCATGGTTATACAGGGTTCAAAAAGCAAATAATAAAAATCTCTCTATTGAAAAGCTCTTGAATCACATAAAGCCCACCAGCCATTAATCTAGACTTTCAAAGGTCCTCACTCCAAACATATGTTTTAATGTGGGATGCAAACATGTTTCAATTGAAGTTGTCTTGCAATATTCTGATAATTGATCAACAAGTTGACACAAATGACAGAAAAATAAAAGCTGCACAATCTGTAAACAACAGATGGCATTCTTTTTCTCAGTCATACTTAGCCAATGTCCTGACACCACCTATGAAAGAACTTTGCAACAGCAGCTTGCTTTCAGATACCTTACTAACTGTGGTCACCTCACAATGGTCCTAGAATTTCCTCCCGTATCTCAGAACTGTCTGACCTGAACTACCACATTAATTAGCTTTCCTTCATAAAGCACTTCTTGCTGTCTCATTGTTTAGACTGCACATGACAGAGATCAGCCAGTAATATGCAGCATATATTACTGCTTTAGTTATAAAATTTAAACTGCACACACTGGCAAGCCCTTCATAATTACATCAGGGATTAAAGGCATAAAGTTATGTTACAGAAATATTAATGTGCCAATGTAAATTATTCAAGTATCAGGGAACACCAGAGACTGGGCTGTCAGTAACTTCCATTTTGCTCCTTGGTGCATACACCCTCCAGATTAAAGTAAGAATACGATCACATTATTTTTCCATGAGATCCCTGACATAATCAGAATACATGATAGTTTTAGCCCCTCAAAGGGCTATTTACTATATCCTCATCATGAAATGTCCTCATATGTAGTTAAGTATGCACATTTGCGTTTCAAGTCAACAAATTCCACACTGAACATATAATGCTGATTTTCATTAGCAGGATATGCTGAGTAAGTGCATACACAGTGCTTGGCTTTTGAAATTTTGGTCCAGCTGAATTACCCAGCATCACACAGAACCCAGTTCTGCAGACAGGCATTCACATCTTTTTTTTAACCCTCTTCATGAACTTTTGTGAGACATGAATACATCTGTCATTTCAAATAACTCTCAATACATGTTCCAAAAATAAAAATCCATTTTATTATCCAAGGTAATGCTGACCTGGAAGGGGAAAAAAAATGGCAAGCCATGACCAACCAACTCATTCAAGGAGGATTAACTCTGAATGGGAAAAAACTGAACACCAAACCCCCCAAAACAACACCCTCCCCACACCATTCAAATGTTTCCTAGTACCCCAGTACTTAATTTTGCAACATCTTAACATGTAAAATCAAGTCTTATATACACAAGGCCAACTATATTCGCAACAGAACCATTACACTAATACAGAATAGTCCACTTCCAAATAGGTCACAAGCACAACCACGTATTTTAGGTACACAGCATACTTTTAGATTGATGGCACACGATTTAATCAGAATAAATTATCATCTTTCAGGACATTTTCTGTCACCTAATACTACCAGCTGATGAGGACAGAGAGTATAGAAGGATAGAGGGGAGGGAGGGAACTGCCATTTTATGTTAGACAACAGAGGAACACTGGGACTCAAGTTCTGGAGGGGAGCATCCTTACTATTACAGATGCTCCTGCTTTTCTGTTCTCTCCCTTCCAGGCTCATTTCCTTTCTCCTCAACTTCTAACACCTAACCCATCCCAATTTGCTCAGCCTCTGTTAGGCTGTTTCCTCATCCTTTATCTGCTGTAGGTCTCAGCTGTAGGTCTCTCTGCTCCCAAGTTCAATGCTACTGCACCAGCAACTAGCCTGGAGAAGAACTCACAAGGGCTGTCACAAGGGCTGTCCTCCTGAGTGAAGATGCAACAAGAAGACTTTGATCAGTAGCCACCAAACACATATACACCTACACCTATAGGCATAGGTCTGGTTTCTGGACAATACTGAAGTCCCACTCTTAACTCCAAGGCATGGAGCAACGAGAGCAACTGAGAACTTGGCAAACTCTTTTAATTTCCAAGAAATCTATTTGCTTGTAACATTCCTTGAGACTTTTTTTACTGGAAGTTCAAATTCAGGTTGAAATATATACCTGGCATGGAAATTCTCAATAAAACATCATTTAAAGTAAACAAACAAAAAACAACAACAACAACAAAAAGAGAGAAAATTTAAAGTCAAGGATCCTCATCAAGGACCTTGGATAGAAGGTGTGCCTGCCAGCTCCATTATATATTATATACAAACAGAAAGTTTACAGGTACCAGCATTATTGAGCAATTTGGTACCTCTAACGAAGTATGCTATATTAACTACTGGTTAAAACTTCGTTATTTTGCTTTTTTTTCAGGCCGAAGACATGCATCATACCAGCTTTAATAAACAAGTCAGTAAGGTATAATTTTTGAAAACATGAAGTTCTACTTTAGAGTCCCAACTCCAGTATAAATTACATATTGGGACCCATGGATGTACAAGATAAATCGCAAATGCAACTTGCAATGGCATCTCTCCTTGAGACAGAAAAATGCAGCATGTTTTTGAACAACCACTACATTAGATCACAGAAATACATGTACAATTACATTACATTCTGAAGCTCAGTTTCTTGCTGCTTCATGGCTAAGAACAGCCATGTCAAGACTGTAAACAAACAACTAAAAGTCAGAATTATACCAATGACACTGCACAGCTTATACCTGTAAATTAACCTTTGATACAGGATAGCCTATCCTCCTGTAGAACAGATCTGTCCTCAGGCAAGACAGAAGTTGAACTGAAATACTTTCCAAGCTTAAAATCTGTCTTTTTTTTAACTATGTTAAAAACTATGTTAAAACACGCAGCTCTACATTTTTATGTCATAAATTAATTTTACAAATAAAGCATCTCAAGACACAGGATTTGAAGTGTACAATGATTGCATACACAAAAACATTACTTGCCTTCATATGGTGTGTCCGGAGGTCCTGCTATTTCTCCTCTTAATTCTGTAAAATTCTCATCTACAAGATCTACTTTAATTTGATTTTTGCTCGTCTTAAAAATAAACAGAGAAACAAAGAATCGTAAGTAAGCATTTTACATACAGACTTCCCCCAAAATATGGTATTTTATTTTTTTAGAATTGTATTTTTAAAAAATATATGTAAAAAAATTTAAAAATACAGTAAACTAAATGGCTATCTTCCAGTTTGACATTTACTTCATTAAAAATAGACTATTTGTGAAGCAGTAGAAATTTCAATATTATTTATACTATCACTACAGTAAGAAAAGCAATCTTATGATATAGTATCTACAATCATAGTTTTAAATCCATTACATTTTAAGACAACTGTGATCTTTCCAATCAGATATTAATTCTACACATCTTAAACTGTAACATTAAACTGACCGAGTTACACATGGGCTTTTTTTGCTTAGAGCAATTTTATTAATAATTGGCATGATTGTCACTTTCACTGAAATACAGAAAGATTTCCCCAAATGGAGTGTTGATATTTTTAAACAATACAATGATCTAAACAGAATACTGTAGTCTTGCTCAGGATCATGTTTATCTTTAATATTTAGGGGTAAGGTACAATTTATTTATACACTTGCATTTCATTGTCACCTACTCAACATTTTCACACCCCATATCAACTTGCCTACAAAATAAAAACACTGTGTTTTGATACTGAAAAAAAACATATGCTTTCCAGAAACTGATTCTCAGAAGTGTTTAGCCAGAGCTACTCATTCCATTGAATCTACTTTCGAGATCCAGTGAGCAGCATTTGTGGAATTCATACAAATCTTCCAGCCAGTAACATTTTGGGGGGGATGCAAAGCAGAATCTCCTGTCATAAAGATATACCATGAAGGTTTTAGAGATAAGTAATTGCTGCTTCTGTATACCACACTCACTGACTGCAATGCAGATCTCCTGAATCCACTGGTATTTTTTCCAAGAACTCAAGGCATCTTCCCAGATCCTTTAAAATTGTTCCAACTAGGTCTGCATCAAAAAAAAAAACCCATGCAGCTGTGCTTCTCCCTCAGAGTAAACCCCATCCCTGACAGCTATGAGAAAAGAGTTAAATCAGATAAAGCTGATGGCTGCCATCGACTGGTTCTTGGGAGCTACCAACTGTGTGAACCATCAAGGATGCAGAATTCACTGAACAGCTGTGAGATTACTTCTATTTCCTTCCTGTAAATATTCTATAAAGTCCTCCAAGCCAAAGAGGGGGCTCCTCTGACAAGAGATGCTCACAGATACGAAGAAGAATAAAAATTAAAGTTTCACCATGTAAAAGACCCTAATTAAAAGTTTCACTACATTAATCCAATGGTGATTTGGGGGCTTTTTACATCTGTAGTTACACACATCTGCTTTTTAAACTTGGGTAAAAAGCCTTCAGCCCCCACAAGAGGCAGCACCTGCAACTGCACAGCTGAGTCTTAAGTACTGCACTTCAAAAAACGGATTCCAACCACGCTGCAAATGAAGAATGCACCATGCACCTCCAAAATCAAAAGCCAGTTAAATACTAAATGTAACAGTAGTTTTACCAATTTGTATCTATAAACCAGTTTTTTTGTTTTAAGCTCAGCATCAGATCTTGTGTTGTCTTTCATGACATTAGCTATTAGAGAAAGGAAGTTAGAGGAAATGATGAAATTATGTCTCTAAACATATTCTAGATTTATTTTCTTTCCTGCTACTGTTCATGTAAGTTGCCTGACCAGAAAGTAACTGCTTTCTTTCAAAGCTTTGTTTCTGTAATACTGAGCAGCAGGACAGACTGTCCCAGCAAGACAGCCTTCTCCAAGAGCCACGCACTGTAAGAAACTCCCTCTCTGAATTCAAACTCAATCACAGGCACTCACATTCCTCTTGCAAGCTTTCCAACCACTCTGAAGTTTTTTGCTCTCACTATTCCAATTGGCAGCTCATTCCATAGCCTCACAATTGTTAAACCTATTCAGGTTCTCTTGCTCTCCGCCTCTCAACATCACCTGGCAAGCTCCAAGTTGAGAGCAGTTCTTGTTCTTTGCAAGAAAGCCCATAACTTTCCATCTTGAGGACTGAAGCAATCTCAAAAGGGATAAATTTCAAAGATACAATTTATGGTTAACACACACTGCAGCTTGCTTAATTTTCTACTTAGCAATTTATTTTTTCTCAGTGTCCTGCACACTGCTGTAACAGCTTGGATAGTTCATATTCAACCTTCATATTCAATTTCAATTAGTACCACACTCACTGTTTTCCACAACAAATCCTTTGTGACTTCATAAATTCGGTGAAAAACAAACAAAACCCCTATTGCTACGCTCAGTTTCTTGCAAGAGTCAATGATCCTGGTTCTACCATTTGAGACAACTGATTTTATTACTACAGCTACAGCTATCGCCCATACCCTTATTTGCTTTAGGAAAAATGTTTTTAGGAAAAATGGCAGGCTGTATTACACTGTTTCAGTGTAAGGACTAACTTAATTTTGCTTAAATTCTACCATGCCTTCTATATAGCAAATGCGGTTTTTCATTTACATAACTCAAGAACCTTTTTCATGCTATTCTGATTGACTTTGATGTGAGGTGCAACTCAGCTTGACCTTGCCAATTCCTGCATTTTCCCTCATCCCAGGAGCAGTAACTAATATTTAACTGTACTGAAGTGAGTATTCATCCAATTAAACCTGGAGTATTTTCCTACAATATTTTCCCTTAATAAGGATCACACAGGATACAATTACTTAATTTTAGCAGCTCAAACAGAATAAATCCCTGGCCTTCACCATAATCATCTGAGCTGTCTCTAAAATGTTATCATCAGCCCAGTTTTCCTGAAGTGTGTCTGACACCAATGATCTCAGCACAGAATTTATGAATCAACTTGTGATCTCACAAAACAAGTTGACTTGCCAGAAGCAGTTCTTCCACAAAGACCTCATTATGCTTCCATACGAAGTCTAAAATAGCATCACCTCCTGTTGATTCATCAACAATTTGGTGACTAGATCACTGGGCTAGCAATTCCTGAAATACGAGCCATGTCATCAATAGCAGCATTTCTTTCCATAATCTCAGTTTAAATTCTCTAAGAGTGTAATTTCTACTGGCATTTCTTGCCAACACGAAAACACTCCACTAAAATCCTTTTCTAGGAACCTACAGGCCCAACACTACACCAGCAGAACCTCCCATCATCACAACTGAAAATGATTTTGATCAAGAGTGGAAAAAAAAAACCAGAGAAAGGAGTGTTAATGTAGCATATTACATAATGCATGATAGCGCTCCCTCTTTTTTTTCATTTGTATTCTAGTCAGATCATACAAAGCTGTTTTTTCCTTTTAAATGCACCCCTGCTTCACACTAGGGCTCTACTCAAAAGATTTGCTGTCTTCTAGACCATCCCAGCTCCTGAGACTGTATGCATTGCTATAGTCATGCTTACCTGATTTTACTCTGCCTTGTGGACATTAAACTAAAAGCATGAGACAGAAAAATTGGGACAGATTCATGTAAGTCATTCTCATGCATTACAAAAGCTTTATGTCTAAAAAGACACTCAAAGGAATAAATCCTTGAAGAGTCATCCTATGAGCATCTCCCAAGAACTGCACACTCAATCACATTTATTACAGTATTTATTACTGCTATTGATCAATAATATTTTGTCTTGTCTTTGCCTGCCTCCTCTTTAAAAGAGATAACCCAGAATTAGATTGTCTGGTGTTATGTCTGAGTTACCTTCCTCATACAGAACAATCTGGTCCAGCAGAAACTTTGAAGAGTAAGTTCTGCCACTGTGAAGATTTCATCACATACATCTTCTCCATTTCTACTTAAACACTTTCAGAGAGCAGCTCTGGTCCGTGTAATATTATTCTCAGTTGACAACAAGCTCTTCTTTTTATTCACCATAGTCTACAGGCCTTAACAAGGAGATCCTCATTAGAGGGGCCTGCCTTCTTTCAGCAGTTAATCTACCCCTTTTCCTGAGCTTTCCATACCATCTCTTCCTCTCTTCTCCAATCTGCCTTTTAAAAACTCTTTAATTTATGTGTTATTCATGGCCCATTATCCTCTTCATGAGGCCAGCAACTCCACTCTTAAAATTCAAAGTTTTCCTTCTGAAGATAAAGAGCTAGAAGAAAGCCAGGACAAAACTACAACACATGGACATCACAGAAGCACATCAAGACAGGGTGATAAAAACTGCACTGTTCTGAACATTTTTCCCCACATAAAAAATACTATTTATTACACTTACCAAAAAAAAAAAAAATTGAAAAAAAAAAAATCTATTCCAAGTTCTTCTAGAACCAACAAGCTCTACTTCCTATTGACATTACCTTAACATTAGACCTTTGATCCCTGCATAATACAATTACTCCAAAGAAATGTTAACAGGCCAAATTATCCACTATGCATCCATTAGCATACATACTACATTTTAAACTATTGTGATTAGAACAAAAAAGGAAAATAAATTACATTTATTAGCAGTATTAATAGCTTCAATTCTGCACACTACTTTCTTAAAAAAGAACAGTGTCAAAATTAATTACTGCTTGTATGTTCTAAGTGTACATCACACCTTAAATATTCATATACCACATGCAAAATTCACATCAAGTATCATCACGTATAAAGGCCAAGATGGTAAATAAAGATTTCTAAAACCAAAAAAACATGCAAACAAAAAAAAACCCACACCACTTTTGCCAGAATTAGATTTGGTGTTTAAAACTCAATGGTTACCTCTGAATAACTGTGCATTAAAAAATAAAAAAGATAAACCACAAAATCCCACTATTCCATGCAGCAGTTCACTATCTCCTATCTGTGATTTCATAGGTCCTGCAACATGATTTTCTTCCGTTTTAAGCAGAACATACTTTATACTGGATAAAGTACTACTATTTTCTGTTAATTTACTGTTTTTTTACAGAAAATAATTGAGAAGTCTAGAAATGTAGGTATATTAAATCCCTCCCACAAACAAACAGAAAAACCCTAACCTGAAAAGACACACA